TAGGTTTCTAAGCATAATACCATTGAAATAACTGCTGAATACACAACACCTTCACCTACCACCTTTTACTGTCTTGTAAGGGCCTGGGCAGAAAGACTAACTTCTTTTTACAACAGGTTAGTCAATATTCTTTGACGTATCTTTCATTTCACCATATGCCTGTACTTGCTTCCAATGTAGCACACCTTTTTATCTAAAATTAAAAGTGAAGAACACTTATTTACAATATAAAGAACAAACACAGCACCATTTATGGAGTGCAAGACTTTATATCTGCAGAATTAATATATCCAACATTATACCCTTTGATTTTAAAATTATGCCACTACAATGGTGTTGCACAGTCATTATTTTCTACTTACAAAATATAGGCAGGCAGCCTGACCAGTTGTCTGTGGTGTAAAAATAAAAGATGCTGATACATACAATAATAAGTTTGTTTGGAAAAAGAATTGCAAGTATTTGAACAGTGTATGGAAAAATGAAACACTGGTGCTGCTGGATCTGCTCTTGAAATGAAACAGCAGCTTTTCACAGTTTCTCTGCAATCCGCTCTATTCTGTTTGTGGGTAGAAGCTGCATTTATTCCTTTGCAGCAGCTACAAAAAGAAGCTAAAATACACTGATATTTAACACTAAGAAAGATATTAATTGGAACATCTTTCTCCTTTCTTTTTAGGAAGAAACAGTTGCAAATAATTCCGGTTTTTATGCTAAAAAGTACAGCCATTCAAGAGACATATTTTCTCATGGAAAACCATACTGCAGTTTCGAGGTTACTACATGAAAACTAGAAATGTAGCTGGTGAGCTAAGTCTGAGTTGAGGTTCATACGCTTCAGGCTAATGGTCTTAGTTCCTATAGATCAAATATCTCAAAAGTCACTACTCCTCACAGTATTGCCTGTTAGGCTGGAGAGCTGGACAAGAATGAAGTTCACTCATTTTCTGATAAATGCAATGCAGACATTTGATTAATGCTCTTTTTTCTCTTGGCCATGAACAGGTAAGGGTCTTCTCAGACTGCCTATACTTCACAACTCCTAAATGACTGGGTGCCTGAAGACTATATGTTGTACTTACATTATTGCTATAGAGAGCACTTTAAAAGACTTTTGAACTCAGATATTTAATTTTAACCCCTTCTCCAGCAAAGTCTTAGTAGCTTAGAATGAGACATGATTAGAAATGTTTGCTGCTTTCCAACATGATTTCTATTCATATCTTGTGAAAGGAATTATTTTCCCCAAATGTAATGGTAGACTTTGTCAAAATGAAAGAGAGCGGCTATTGTTGCTAACAAGCTTCTTAGGTTTGTCAATATATTTCCAAGCTTTAATTGCTAGATTTCAGGTGGTGGGAGGAACCAACCAAAAAAAACAACCAAGAACAGAACTTTAAGCAGACCAGGTACATGTGAAGAGCTGAAATCAGAGCCTACCACAGAAAGTAAAGCCCAAACATTTCCTCAGTAAATCAGCAAAGTCCATGTTACAAGATGCTCATCTCTCTTTTTCCTTTACATATGCAGACAAAATAGTTTCAGAGGAGTATAATCAAAGATGATTTATAATATCAATAATAACATGTAGCTGTTTAAAAAATGGGGCAGCTCAAGTACCTTAGTACCATCTGATGATTTATTATGAGTCTCCTTCAATTTCTCCTTTTCTGCACCAAGGGACTTACTTAAAAATCAAAAGTACCAGCATGCATCAATCTATAATATTCACAGTTAGGATCTACCATCAGTAACTATATTTAGCAATGCTGTGAGTTATTTGTTCATAGGGGTGAATATACCAAGGGTTATTAAAAAAAAAAACAAAACATGGTTACAGGAATATATTTCTACTGCATCCTCAAAACCAAAAGAAAGCAACAGCCTTGTATTATTTCTTCTGTTTATAATGTACTAGTGCTAAGTTTCATTTGTACCAGTAGCATTTAGTTACCCCTGAAGACACTTTGTTGCCCTCCATCTCTTCACAGCTCATTAGCTGAAGCGGGAGAGCTCTTCTTGGGTCAGGAGTCAATGTGTGTGCCGAGACTTGAGCAGGGTCCCATGGGGTCCCTGAGCCTATTCAAAGACTCTTCTAGTCTCTAGGCAGGCAGCTCTACCACGTGTGCCAAAAGAGAGTTTTACTTCTGGCAGAAGCGCTAGGAGCTGTACAAAGTAGTCTCAGTGGGGAATCACTTAGATTATCGACAGGCATATGCCAGGAATATTAAAGCAATTCCATGAAAACAGGATTTTCTGGCAAACTGTTGGTGCAGTGCCTGTCTGCTCATGGAGCTTTTCTGAGGAATATTTCTGGAAACTATACAGATACACAAATGTTACAGTGAAATCATCTGACGTTCTGGAGTGGCACTAATGGCAACATCTATTGGCTGCCGAATACTTTTGTGTCAGGTGCACAGATTTCTTAGATTGTGTTACAGTACACTGTGAAGCTACATCCTTATTTTCAACTTCCATTGTGGTTGTGTTTACTCCCTGCAAGAAACAGGTTCCCAATAGGTCAGGTTTGCCTGTTGTTGGTTGCATTCTCCAGCTTTGTCCTGGAGTTTTTTTGCATATTGCTACAAGATGGGACTTTACAGATATTTATAAATGCGTGAGCTGAGAAGGTAGTTGTATTACGCACCGAAAGCAAATATATTTTATTTAGTAAAGCTTCTATACATTACAAATCTTTCCTCCCTCCCCTTTTTTTTTTTTTTGTGTGTTTTCTTTGGAAATAGCATCTACATTGCCATTAACTAGACAATATCCGTGCCCTGCAGGGGAAGACAAAGCCATCTGTGACAGACAGCAAACATTCCCCAGGAAATGGAAAGAGCACACTATATAGATCTTATGCTTTTTACAGCTACAGCACTAGCTATAGGATTTAGATAGTTTGTTAAAGTATGCGGGCACTGGAACTACAAAGCAGTTCTTGATACTCTCTTGTTTTGCCTTTTCCTCACCTTTGGACTATGTAGACTATGTAAGTATTAAATGACTTGTATTCAAGTCACAGAGGAAAATAGTTGCATGGACACAGCATAGAAATCTACAGAACATATGGGAAACTTAATCTAAGGAATTTTAAAGAAAATATATAATTTTAGGGCATATGAAAGAACTGCAGTTGCATAGGAACACAAATAACTGGCCAGTTTCTCAAAAGGTGTATATTTAGGAAAGCTGCCTGAATAATGGTATTACACCAGCAAAGCATTTATCCTTTTGTATCACATTTTGCATGTAACATTTGCAAACTGGAAATTTTCCCAAAGCAAAATGTCAACCACATTTTTTTCTTAAATAAAAGTGTGAATGAAGCTTCCTTGATGGGTAAAGCTCAGAAAGCACGAAAGGTACAGATCCCTGACAGTGTGGAAGAGCAGTTTTTCATTTAGCTCATCAAAATACACTCTCTAGGGTGCTGTTCTATTCCTGAGTATGGCAGCACTGTGAAAAGGAGAAAAGGTAGTGAATGAGACAGGGAAAAAGAGGAAAAATAAATAAAGCTGATTGTGGTGGGGTAGAAGTGTTTCATTCAAGTGGATCACAAAGCTATTTTATTCAGCAGCTGTTCACTGAGGTGTAGAAAACTGTAAGTCTGCAAGGTCTCTTAGCCTGGAAAATGGTTGGAGAAAAGATGGACATACTGTTTAAACAAAAGCAGAAGTTTCTTCTGTACTTTTTAATACATATATATGTGCATATATAAAACAGCCCAACAGAACTTTTTCAGTTAACTTATGGTACAGAAAACTGATTATTTCATTGGCAAAGAGTCTATGTGTCTCCTCCTTGATATGCTGCCTGAACCTGTCCTGAGAAACAACTAATGAGACGAATCCTTCTGGTAATCATGGCAATCATTTCTTACTGGGAACAGAACACAAGGCTGCTCGAATCACAGCAAGAGGGCAGATTTCTCTCCTCACAATTTGAAACATTTCAGCGCATTGTGAGGAGCACATAAATATTCGATACCACTTACAAAAGTCTAAATGATCAGAATAGATAAAACTTGTTCCCTACATACAGGTATGCCTTCCAACTTATTCCCTCATTTTACTGATTACAAACACACCTACCACAGTTCATATTTTAAAGATGTCTTCGAAAGACAGAAAATTTCCACTGAGAGGTACTCAACCTCCTTGTCAAAGTAAATCAAGGCTTGACACATGATCATACAAGATACAATGTGCATCTAAAACAGAAATCTGAGAAGGAAACAGAGGAAATCAAAGTAACGCTGATAAGAAAGACAAGACCAGAGCTCTACCATATCTGGCCCAGCCATGGCACAAGCAGTCACGAGCTGGGGGTGTGTCCCACTTATAGTTGTCTGAAGAACAGTTTTCCCACTTTTTAAAGTTAGGCTTGCAGGCATGGTTACCTAAATAATTTGAAAATAAGACGACTTTGCAGCAATTCTGAGGGTGAGACTCTGCTGCTGATAGGGACATTCACAGCTGTCAGGGGGGCTGTGAGAATTATGCGTGTATTAGTAAGGGATGAATTTGTGCCCTGGGAATTTAAGATTAGAGCTGTATCAGGCAATAACCTTACCTTAACATGTCAAACTCTATTCCGACAAACCATATTAGCCTGCTACTCCAGTACGTGTCGGTGTCTGGCTCAAAAACCACCCAACCATCCTCTAGGGTACTGAGCAAACTCGCTTGGATTTGAAGGTGACCCCTGCAGCACCGATGCTGTCTCTCCAGTAGGTGACACTTCAATGACTGCAGTGGGAATCAGTGGGACCTAAAGATGTTACAGCTTAAGACGGGACAGCCTGATGGTGGAGGCAGGAAGGAAGGCTCTGGCGTCAAATGCACCATCGCAATGGAGCCCTAGAACAGCCCTTCTCCAGTCATGCAGAAACCTTCACATCAACACAGTTTCATTTGTTTCCACCAATTTCTCACAACACGAAAGCATCCCCTCCCGCCCCTCCCCCACAGCCCCCCTCCTTTCTTGACAAAAGGCAAAATAAATAAATAAAGACTTAGCCTCTGCTTCGGGGAAGCGGCCTCTCCGGGTTTCCGCATTGGCGGTGACCCGGCTGGAGCTGGTAGGCATCAGTTTTCACGGCAAATAGTGGGAGTGGAGGGGGCCAGCGGCTCCCCAGCTCTGGCCGCAGGCTCCAGGCTTGACTGTTTCTCTCCGGAGGCTGCTCCCAGCTGTCATTGTACCAGGCCTGAGCCATAGCCGAAGGCGTAGCTGCTGGCCAGTGAGAGGGACTGCTGGTGCTCCTCACCCTGCTCCTCCTGGTAGCTGGGAAATGTCTGCGCCCGGGACACCTTCGCTGAGCTGAGGTTGTGACCTGTGGTAAAGGGGACATGGACACAAAAGATGTAACTCGTCTTTCATTTAATTTGCTTTCACCATTTACACGGACTTCGATAGGCTGGCTTCATACTGCCCCACGGCGCCAGGGTACCTGGAGAGGAGACGTGCCACATTGGCCATTTTTGTTGGTTTTTTTTTTTAATTGCATAATATCAATAATATCTCTTATATTTGCTACTCTAAATCTCAGTTATGTTTCTCAGTTAGAGCTGATAAATGCACACTAATGCACATCTTTTTTATCTGAAGCACTGCTTAAGTAGTGGAAGTAATGCCAGCAGTTTCAAAGGGATTTGTCACACAAATGCCGTTAAATATACTTACTGTCTTTGAATAGGATGCCAGCTTGTCAGGCAAACACAGCATCATCGTAATTTCAAAATGAACTGGAGGTGGGATATAGCCCATGTGGCAGAATACTAGCTGGGAAGAGTATGTGTGAAGTGTTTTCTTAGATGGGCTTATGAATCTCATTAACCATGGCTTGCTCAGTCGCAGCCAGCAAGATGGGAAACCATGAAAAGCCAATGACCAAACTCAGAAGATGACTCCTATGACCCAGTTCTGTAACCTGATCATTTTCCTACCTCTAAATTCCCTTTTGAAACTGGCATTTAATTAGTAGCACAAAGTTCATTTCCAAAGTTCATATCTTCATGCAACATATATTCTCAATTTTTTGGCAATGCATATTGAAGCCTTATTTAAAATGGTATTGGATATATGCTTTTAAACATGTCTTTAATAGATGTATTATATGTAGGAATGCAAAATCATATTTCTCCGTCAACCACAGATATATTAAGGGATAGAATATATGCTCAAACACTGAAGCACTAGGCTCACGGTGGAATGTTCCAAAACAGCTGGCAGCTTTCTAGACTACTCGAGTAGTGCTGGAACTAAGAATGATGTTCACCAGATTTGGCAAAACTGTCCCAGCATGCATTTGGAAAAGTTTGGCTATAAAATGTTACTGACAGCTTCATGAAAATAAATAATCATTATTCCCCTGAAGAAGAGAGAGCAATACTAGCACCAAGAGAGAAAAAAAAACCAATGAATTAATTTAATCCCATTTAGGATAAAAAGGAAATTATATTCAAGTCTTCTGTTTCCTGTATGCATGCCTCAGCTGCTACCACGTCCTTACTGTTCTAATGACTATTTCTAGCTGCTAAATCTTACAGCAGGGCTGATATTAGCTATTCTCTAACCAAAAGGATTAATGAAAATAAGTGGATTTTTCCCTGACTGCTACATTATATAATAATTAGATCCAATAAGACATGCTCAACAGACCCTAAAGTTCAAAGACACCTTGGCTCAAGCCAAACTGTGACATCCATCTATGGAAATAATCAGAAAATGAGTAGAGGACATCAGTTCAAATGAAATGAGAAAGCTATGGGTTACAGAGAATTTGCAAGTTTAGGAAAGAATGGCTCTTTCAATATGTTTACTTTCAACTTATATTGTTTTTAAAAGAATGAACTATATTAATGTATTTAAATAAAGTTAATAAAAAAACAATGGTGGTAAAATAATTTAATAGTCCAATGGTTCTGAGTTGGCCTAAGACTTCTAAGTAGTAAATGTCCAAAATTTAGAGGTTTGTTCAGCTTTTTTTTTATTTTATTTGGTATATATATCCCATACTGGAAACTCTAAATTATAATAAATTCTTTTATTTGAATACTAAATATTATTTTAATACTCATACTGATCCGCCTTATAGAGTCTTGGGTACTGCAGTGTTTCCATAATTACACTTTATGTCAGCAGTAAGAATTTTGAAATTCAAGTTTCAACAGGAGAAGATTTTAGAGTAGAATTTGAGTTCCACTGTTTTCTAAGCTTCCTCCTTCAATAGTATTTTCTGTGCCCCATTTGGGTCTTAAAAGGTTAAGAGAAAAGAAGAATGCTGTTCATGGATCTTGCAGCACTTTGGTACCACAGTTGTTTTCAAGAATACAAGACCAACTCTTCTCTACAGTTCTTCTGACGTTGGCATAAGATGAATTTGATTAACACACAGTTCATGACCTGAAGACACCAACAGGACTGGGAGAGTCTTTTTTCCTGCGGCTTGCACAGGAAATGCCTTTCCTTATTTAAATTTACTCTCTGGATCATAGAATGCAATGAAGCTGTAGTCCAAAGCAATTAGGTATGAATGATCCAGCAAGATAATTTAATGCAAACTGGCAAATTACACCAAAATTAGATTTTTCCTGATCTTAATTATGTTGGAAGCAGAGGCATTCTACACAAGGATCTTATTTCATGGCATGGTGCTTATTTTTAACAATTCTGTAGAGGAAAAAAACCCAATGGTTTCCTAGTAACAGCAGTGATGGATGAACATACAAGTAAATCGATCACAATTTCTATGAGAAAACTTGCAGTACTCAGCTAAATGAAAGGAAAAAAAAAAAAAGAAAAAAAAGAAGAGATCCAGGAATAAGCTTTAAAAGCTCCCTGACTGCTGCTCACTGGGAAGCATTTTTTTCTGGTTTTCATTCAAAATTAAAATTCTTAACCAGAAGACAGGTGTCAAACCGTTTTCTTTTGTAAATGAAAAAGAAGGTCATGCTTTTCATTTCCAATGCAAGAATTCAAGACACTCATCTGCTGTTCTTTGGTTAGAACACTCATCTCTGATGTACAGGGCCTGTGTTAAAATTCCTCTCTGCCTGTGGGTATAGTTCAACATTACACTTTCTGTAACAGAAAAAAAATCAGCTGAAAATGTTCCCTTTCTTCTCTCTACCAACACTACTGTTCACTGTCCCTCAGTTGTGCCATTGCAGCTGAAAGGTTGAAGCACTTTGGTCATCTGGTTTGCAAAAGCCCTACAAGCAGTTGAACTGGCACAGGTAAGGAGCAGCCAAGTGTAAGAGATGGCAGGGTTTTTGTCAGACTGGCTTTGGTAGAGATAGTTTGTTTGGGGAATGATGACCTGTGAGCAATATGCAACCAAATGCAGGTGAATGCTATTGCCAGCAGACTACTCACTTCTCTGATGCAGGATCACTTTTGAAAACCTGTGACGAAGCATTTTCTAATGTAAGATCTAATATAAGTGCATAGGTTTTGCAGTTCAGTAATTAAAAATTAATAGAACCAGAGACTCCTGTGTTTCAGCTTCAGTTGCAGATCTTGAAAGTACCTCATATTACATAGTCACTAGGTAAAATAACCGGACTTTTGCAGCTGCACAGCAAGCTTTCATCTGGGATTTCTTAACATCTGAACAGATGACTTCGCAAGAAAACCCAACATTATGTGCTTCAAATACAGTTTTACTTTTTTTAGGTAATAATAATAAATTTATTTTTGAAAATATAATTTTGCATTTACATTCCTAAGATTCTGAGCAGAAATCAAAGCCATTAAATTAAAGCCAAATTGATATCTTTATTAGTATTATGTTTTGTACTTGGGAGTGCTCTCAGATTTCATGAGGACAAGAGCACTGTGATTGCAATAGATGTTTCTATAAATGTTATAGAAAACCACAGTTGTTCAAAAGAAAATTTCTATGAATCAATCAGTACAAGCGAAAACCAAATAAAGTGAATCACTGGTTCCATTGTAAAGCAATCTTTTCTTTTTGGAAATATTCATTGGAAAGTTCTGTTGTTCAAAATAAACAGAACAGTCTGAAAATCAGTGAAACAGAGACGATAGGATTTTATCTACAAAGGATGGTGCAAGGAGGTGGAAAAAAACCAATTAGCTAACAGATGTTTCAGGAATGAAATGCTAGTAAGAAGGGGTTAGTTGTACGTTGTTTCCTCATGCAATTCTCACCGGAGAATAAATGCATCCTTTCAGCCAGAAAAGTTCACAAAAATAGTACTAGCCTTTAATCTAGATTTATGTTCTCTAAGGACTTTCCTAGCATCAGTGAAAGTGCCTGTTTATACTAAAGGAGGCCAAAAAGATTACACTGAGGGTATGGTTTTGATGGGAAAGAATGTCTTAAAGTGCTTCAACCTCTAACAATCTTTGCAGCATTTTTGTAAAGGCACAGGACAAAATGGGAAATATACTGCAGCTATGCACCTAAAGCCCACTAGGGAAAACTTAAAACTAACTGCAATAAACTAAATTACTATGACTGCTTATTTCAGATGGAAGCTTTTATCTTCTAAGGGCTTTTGTTGCAAAGAAAGAGAGTCCACATTTTACTCTGGGTAAAGAAAATGTTCCTCAAAAAAAACCAAACCCTTACTACAATCTCAAATCAGTTAAGTGTCTATTATTTCATCCAGAAAAGATATTTTCATTTAAGGCAGAAAATAAATGATTGCTGTTATCCTATTTTTGAATTGATACTGGTTAAAATTCTGCCAGCTCTCCATATTGAATATACAGTGTCTTCTATTAAGCTGTTGATGACAAAGCAGCTTTTCCTTTTCTGCTGTTAGATGATTGGAATAACTAAAGCAAAGTTTCATAGCAGGACAAACTGCTATAAAGCAAAACATTTATTTTGCAGTAATGATGCAGTTGGATTGGAAGGGCATTAATTGCTACAGCAATTATGCTGTCACTCAAAAAAGATGCAATGGAAGGAAGCAGATGGAAACTGAAAAATAGTATAAACTACATTACAGCATATTGATTTCTATGTACTTATTGCACATGGAACTGTGGGTCTCTTTCAGTTTTAAATAAAGAAATACAAGCTTTCCCTTCAATTTGGCTACAGTTGGAATTAAAACTCCAGGGAGCATGGGTGGGCTCCAAATTTTATACTTTCTAAAATAATTTTGGATTCCATTTAATTAAATATTTATCTTTCTGAAGGGAAAATGAATATCAGGAAACATTTTTTAAAAAAATTGTTTAGTTTATTAATTAGAAATAACGTTGAATAAAAAAATAAACTGATGATAAAATATATAGGAAATATACTGAGAGTGACTGTAAAAAAAAAAAACAAATCAAAACCCAAAGCTGCTA